CTCCTTCCAAGACACTGCCCCACCCCCGGGCCTAACCCAAGTGAGTCTAAGGATTATCTGGAATAATACATGTACAATATTATCAATTATATTTTGAAAATGAAATTTGCTAAATAACAAAACAGAGTTTTTGAAACTATTATCCAGTAAGATTCCAATTCTAAATAAGGTATAAAAGGTGATTTTTTGTTTTCTTAATTTTGACTGCTACCATTTTCCCTCTTTTTTCCTTCTCTTTTAGAATTAATGCAGAGTATTTTTAAAATACATAGTTATTGAAAAGGAAAAAAAAAGAAAGGCAGTTAATTATAGACTGAGTCTAATAGAACCCATTACTCCTTCTCTCACACTTTTTCTATCATATCACATAATCACAATAATGAACTTTTCTTCTTTTGATCCTTTTTATCCACACCACTGTGGCAACAATTAAGATTGCCAAGAAAGCAAAAGCATATGTAATTAACCAATTTAGGAATGAACAAAAATTCAGTACTATTTGACACAGACAGCGAAAACAAACAAACAAAAAAAACAAAAATTAAAATCTTGTTGTTCAAAAGAACTTACACAGGTTACTTATAGTGAATAATTAAGTTTTGTTTGTCTGTACCCCTGATATTGGATTTGTTATTAACCAAATTTAATTTTCTCAACATATCTGTGAGAGAGAAAAAAGATTCACATACATATGAACTGAGGCAAAGGACAGTCATGTGACTTGTTTGAAATTATACAATTAAGTCAGTGGCTGAACTGTAAACAGAACCAAGGATACCCAACTGCTAGTGTGCTGCTCTAACTAATGGATCATGCTCCCTGCTATGTAATAGGACTGTTTCCTTTAATTACAAATTCTTCATTCACCATCAGATTATCAGCCAGAGGCTTTATCATTAGTTTTGCTCTTCTTCATTCATGGCACCATTCCAAGAATATCAGATTTCCATGATAAAAAATATAAATACCACTGCTTATTGCATTAACCAGATCTGGAGATCCCAACTGCTTGTGGCAAGGATATTCCACCATATCTGTACCTAATAGCATATTTACAAGTAGAACTGCAATTTTAGCAGCCATTTTTGCTTGATCAATGATCTGGACAAAATGGATTTCATTTTTATTTAATCACATTATCAGTGCATTTATAATTTGACATTACCACATTCTATAATCTCATTAGTCAACACTATTAACATATATGACCTGAATGTAAAAATTCTAAAGGTAGCAGATTTTTAAGGATATACCTTAGGGGACATGTGATGTTAGGAAGTAGATGAAGATAAAAACCATGAGATGTTCTTACATTCTGTGCTAAAATCTATAAAAGAGAATTTACTGGGTAAACAAATAAAATAAATATCTTTAAAGAGGTATCTAGACACTTGTCTTTGAGAAGCACTTTGTGTTTCTTTGGCACATATCACAGTAGCAATAGTAGCAGCAGCCTTGCCCCTGGTGCTGATTTCTTACTACTCTAAATGTCTCCTCTGAGCCAGAATACACTGGCTGTTGCTGATCATGCTGTGAGACACCTGCACTGGCTACTAGGCTTGTCATGACGCACAAAACCCTACCATCTTCAGCTTGACATTGTGCAAGTTATAATTATTCATCCAAATGAATATGTCAGAGCAGCAGCAGCAGACCTCTCATCAGAGCAAAAGAAAAATACATCAAAACATTATCAACTCAGCAGGAAGACAGGGACCATAAGGAAAATTACCCATTTTTAATATGGATGCCACAAAGCCATGTCTATTATATTACAAAAAGAAAAGAAAAGAAAGATCTTCCAAGTGTAAAGTCCAGAAACACTGAATCCAAAGAGAAAATGTACAAAAGCAGACAATGATTTTTAAAATCAATTATCTGAAGCCTATTTACAGTCTCTTAAATATAACTTTACTATTAGATTACAATGGTAACATTTATGCTACATAAAAACCACAACTGTTTAAAAATGGTTAAAACTGAAAATACCCACAAGAATTGTTTTCTGGTGAGTCAGTAAGCAAGGATAACACATAAGCAAAGTCATCTCATACTGCTTCTTACATTTAAATATATTTAACTAATATTGCCAACCTCATCATACTAAACGACTCAGAGTTCATACTGCTAATACCATGACCAAAATCCTTATGATGTTTAGCTAGCATCTAGACTCTTATTGATAAATATTTTTAAACATTCAAAATTTTAATATTATATGTAAAATAAAAACTAAAATTACTCCCATACCTGCACAAATGAAGAAAATATTTCTAAATTGTATATAAACATATAACATAGGCAAAGATAACTTCAGATTGCTATCTCATCTTTAAATAAATGTGAAAACTGTTAATTTTTAGAACAAATTATACATAGGAGTTTACCTTTTCAAAAAAAAAAAAAGATATGATTTTCTTGAGACAGAAAAGGCAGAAAACACAAGGATAAGCCTGATACATTTGACCACAATGAACGTTAAAATTCTGTATGATAAATATATCATATACAAAGTTAAAGATATGCCATAGGGAGAATATATTTACATTCCACATAACCAACAAAGCATTGGGATTCAAAATAAATTAAGAATGCTCAGAATAAAAAAAAAAATCTCAAGCAAAGACTATGAACATAATAATAATGATTATCAATTCTTGATAAAGAATTAAAGTCAGATTAACTAAGATCATAATAACACTTGGAAAAGATTTGGGAAAGTAAGATTATTATACATAGCTGAATAGCAGTAATCTCAGCGGTATATTCCCTATAATTCAGCATTTTCACTTCTAGGAATAATCCATACACAAAGTCTAACATATATGTACCAGGAAACATGTAAAAGTTTTCATTGTGGACTGCTAGTAAGAAACTGTGAATAACCTTATCAACAGGGCAATGGCTAAATTAACTGGTTGATGGACATAATGGAATGATATACAGCATTTTAAGATAAAAATGTATTAGGCACACAAAAATCATGGATAAGTCACTGAAACGATATCATATAAAAAAATCAAACCACAAATACAGTTTTAAAATGTAGTAAAAAGTCTGTAAGGATAGCATACACATCAATTCCAGAGAAAGGAGATAACTCGTTAGCAGAAAAGCAAATAGGAAAGAAAGGACTGAAAAAGTAATGGGGTCTGTGCTATTCCCAGAACTTTTTATTTATCAAAGGGGGGGAGGGGGGGGACTAGAGATATATCTGAAGCAAGTGTGAAAAACATTAATACCTGTGAAATTTAAATTATGGATAAAATGCCACTGTAATTTTATCTGTATTTTGCTAACAATATCAGTGTATTTATAACTTCAGAAAAAAATGTATGATATTCCAGTTACTAATCAATTTTGTTTCCTTAGCACAACTGCAAAAAATACTAATAACTATTAAATCAATACCTTGAGTATAAATTATTATTATAGACACCCCAAACTTATATATACAAGGCCCTGAACCAGTATTAAGTAAGAAAACAAAATCTAAAAGAAACTGCCCTCAAAGATATTCCACTCTAGCAGTCACAAACTAACTTTGATTTGATACAAACTTTTCCATAAAGTTTGTACAGTTATCTGCATTTTAAAACAACACTAAAAAACTCATCAAAACTATGTTCTTCAAATTTGGAACTGTGATAAACATTAATTTGTGATTTAAAGGTAATATCTGGAAAGAGTAATAAAATCTAGATATAATATTTTCTCATGATCTCACTGTCTTAAAACAGAAAGATAAAGCTTTCAGAACCAAATAGAAAACATGTATTTCAAAGTTATACAATCATGTATACATGATTCAATTTTGGAAAAAAATTTTAATAAATTATAACATACATCAAATACCCAAAGTAAATCAAAGGCTTCTTCCTCTCCTTTATTTTGCTGTTTCTCAATTTCCCCTGAGAGAAATAGGACTTATTTTTAAAGAAAAAAATGAGAACAGTAATATTTTTGACAAATGTGTGTAATTAAAGTGATATTTGGACACTTGTAAGCCTATTTAAAACCTGTTAAATGTTGTTTAAACTTTAAAAATTTTTAAAACTAATTTCACTTATAATTACTTTTATGTATGTATAGTTTAAAATATATGTATCAACTTTTACTTGAACCTAGTCAAATTTTGCTAACCAAAAAAATGGGTAGCTTCCATTCACAGAAAATTCATAAAATATCACTCTTCATTTTCTCTTTGCCTAAGAATAGAAACATTTTCTCCTTTTTGCTATCAACTATCACAATTCACTTGGTGAGATAAGGCCAATATCTATTAGACTATCCTGCGAACTTTAATAACCATATTCTGCCACTTATTTAAAAATCACACATGAAATTCTGTGAGTGTACTATTAATAATCCAAAGCACCTTGTGACTACATGTACACACTTCTAAAACATCAGCTTGTTAGATATAACCAATGTACTGAGAAACTAAATTAACAGAAGCAGGAGAATCTTCTATTATCTTTACTTCAGTATGAATATATGAAAACATATAAAAAAGAAAATACATAACCTAAGTTCAAGGATAAACCAAGTCAAACATTTTAAAACCATGAAAACTGAGTACAAATAGCAGGGTTTTTATTTTTACTTTCCTATGATAAAGATTCTGATATAATATCATCAACGTTAAAAATTTTAGCAATATAAAAACTTCCATTCACTTTTACACTTACTGCGTATTGTTTTCTACATAGTTGTTTAGGATTTAAACTAAAACACAAAATGGATGTCAAGAGGGCTTCTGCATGTTCACTGAAAAATGAAACTTAAAGATCTAGAGGGTGAATACTGTGTGTGAGTGTTTGCAGAGAAAGAAGGAAATAATGGAAATATTAGAAAATATAACTAAAGCGTTGTATAAGGCTTGTTTATAAAAGAATGCTCTAAGAAAACTGGAAAATAAATCACTTTAAAACCTATAATGGCTTCTTGACTTAAAAAAATATAGTTTTTAATTACTTAAAATAAATTTAAGAATTTACCTGTGGTGTCCAGGAAATAGAAAATGGAACAGGAAAATCCACAAAACAATCTGGTGATTCTGCGGGATACTACGAAAAAGCATAAAATTTGGTCATTTCTGATTTTCTGTGACAATTTCACTCGAGGTATTTTGGAAAAAAATTGAATATACTAGGAAAAATAAACTGCAAATGCACTAAATATAAATATTTTTATTCTACTATTACAGTGATATGGAGAGTTCATTAACAGTCAACATCTGTTCATGAGGTACAAAGTTTGGTGATTTAGTGTGCCACAACAGTCAATGTTAAGCAAAGAAAAATGAACTAAGTTAGTGTCAGGATAGCTGCTAATGTTATGATCTGAGGGTGAGTCACACTGAATCTCATTTTATCTTTAAAATACAGAATCAAAATAGTTGATATTTAATTCCTTCCAGTCTAAAATTTAAACTCAAATAGCTTCAGTAACATTTACATAGTCAATGTGATAAAAGAACCAAGATATGCATAAGAATGACTACATAACTATCAATTTAAAAAAATGATTTTTCCGGGCTGGAGTTGTAGCTCAGTGATAGAGCAATTGCCTCACAAGTGTGAGGCACTAGGTTCGATCCCAGCACCACATAAAAACAAATAAAGGCACTGAGTCCATATACAACTAAAAGAAAATTTTTTTAAAAAAAATGAATTTTCCATATGAAAACAAGTATTTTTAGCAAGTAGATAAAAATCAGGTTTCTAAGTTGACAAAGACAAAAGATATTTTTTCTTAAAATTAATTTTTTATTAGAAAATCAGAGGATTATAATAAAATTCTATTCTGAAATCTTCAAAATCACAAAATTAAAAGCACTCATTTCTTTCCATTAAAACACTAAATTTACTAAAAGAAAATTCATTTTAGGGAAACTTTCATTTAACAAACTTAATTAATTCAGATCTTTATGTTTTTTAGTATCTTATTATTGAGTATTTCACTGGAAAAGCCAAAGGGGATAAAAAATCATCACTATAATATTTAACAAACACCAGCACAAAGCAGATGCTTTCAAAAATTAACATTTTGATATAATGATCAGTTGGCTAAAAATAAACAGTATCTGTTGCGCATACACTTGTAATCTCAGCAGAGGTTGAGGCAGGAGATCTCAAGTTCAAAGTCAGCCTCAACAACTTATGAAAGGACCTAGAAAACCTAGCAATACCCTGTCTCAAAATAAAAAATAAACAGGGAGGGGGATGTGGCTCAATGGTTAAGCACCCCTTAAACTTAAGTGGTATCAATTCCTGGTACCAAAGAAAAAACAAAGAATAAACAAAAGTATACTATCTGGTTATATAAAACTAATAATACAGAGACACATAGAAAACCACATAAAAATATTACAGTGCTTAAATTCTGTAAAATGAAAAATGATCAGGCTGAGATAAGGAAGTCTATTTCAAACAATTCAAAATATCACAAGGTGATATTATTATATCAGAACACAGTTGCTATAATCACTGGAAAAACAATGTGTACACAACATTAAAAAGTCATGAATGTCTCAAAGTAAATGCAGGTAGAGAGCTCAGGTCTCTCTGGTTCCACCTTTATTAACTAGCTAATATGACCTTGGAAGAGTTATTTAATTTCAATGACTGTTTCACAAGTAAAACTGATAAAACTCAACAGTATTACAAAATCTCATTTTTCTCTAAAATGTGATGATTCTTTTTTAAAAAATTATGCACACTTAAAATCTCCTTGGGTCAAAATGGAAAGGGTTGCTGCTACTTCTTTCCCAGAGATGCTAATAATGAACAAGATCAACTCTCTAACATAAATAAATTGTCAATATACAATAAGAAGTTAATGAAATGTTTACTATATTCTAAGTAAATATATCTAGTAAAGTATCTGTGGCCTTTGAAGTCATTGAGTACATACATTCATAGCTCATTATGCTGAAAGAGAATAAAATCCTATATTCAAGTGAGACTCAGTACAGTAAATGGTACAAATGCACAGATATAGAAAAAGATCCACAAAGAGTTAAACAAAAAAGCAGGTTATAATAAATGTTATCCCAAATACAATAATGACTACTGTGTCATCTGTGAAAGGATAACATATTTCAAATATATTATATATTATACTTATGCAAAGATAATAACATGTATATAATAAACTACTAATCTATATGTGGGTGGCTTTAATACATATCTATTAAAGTTGAATACAGGTATATTTTATATGTTAATTGTATTCACAAATTAAGAGTGATTTTATTTACATAATAAACTTCACATAATTACATAAAACATAAAAAGAGCAAATTTATGTGCATTTGGGGATTTATTATGAATTATTAAAATAGGAAATAACATCCTAGATATTCATTTTCAAAATAGTCTGAACTACAGTAGTACTAAGTACAGTGTAGTATATATATAATGTCACAAATCAGCTTGACCAAAATTAAGACAGTTTTTAAAAGTTATATAGATATATATAAAAACACCAGAAACTGTCAAAAATTTCCATTTTACAAGTTTGATAACAAATGCTCCAAAACAACAAATTTTAATTAAAAAATTAGTATTTAATTATTTTTAAGTAAAAATATGGGAGAAAGAAGGGAGATATGAGAAAGTAAAAGAGGGGAGACATGATCAAAGCACACTATATGCATGTATGGAAATGTCACAGTAGAACCGTTCATTTGTACAATTAATGTGTGTTAATTAAAAAAAGCTCTTCAAATCTCCCTTGAAGCAATCCAAATCAGTAATTATAAAAAATTATTCCACAATATTAAGTACATATAATATGTACTTATAGTCATGATATTTTTTATAGACGCTGTAATATATTATTCTAAGAAAAATCTTAACCAAATCAGTTCTGTTCAGACCATCTAAAACAAGGCTACCCCCTGCAAGTGAAACCATACATATTGCAACAAAGACAAAGTGCCCAGCTTCTGATACACATCTGTGATTTTTTTCCCCCCAAGTAGTTCTGATCTTGGCAGAAGCTGAAAAAGCTCTAAGATACATTTTTTGTACAGAAAAGATAACCCCATCCTATAGTACAGGATGCACTATAAGTACTACATAAATATATCTAAAAACACAAAAAAAATCCTTATTTTACACCTTTTTGATTTACATATTTATTTTTAATAGGAATTGTCTAGTTCAAATTAGTGTTCTTTTCTTTGTGCGTTCTTGGAGATGAGGAGTGACTGAATCACAAGAGAATGTGTTCAAGAAAAAATATATTTTAAATACATATATACATCAAATCAAAGAAATAAAGGTTGTGCAGTCAGAAAAATAATCCTGCTTTAAGGTTTGTTTCAAAAAAAGTTTTTAAAAATTGATTTTAAAAAAATCTTAGTTTAAAACAGATTTTATGAAAACTTTGTCATGTATTCTGAACAAATAGTTTTTGCTATTCCTGTCTTTTAACTGTCAATTCCAGACCCAAATAGTACTCAAAAAACAGAAATTACCACATATAAAAGATAACTTTGGGGGCTGGGGTTGCAGCTCAATGGTAGAGCACTGGCTTCACATGTGTGAGGCACTGGGTTCAATCCTCAGCACCACATAAAATTAAAATGAAGATACTGGGTCCAACTACAACTAAAAATTTTTAAAAATAAAATTTAAAAAGATAACTTTGGCCTCTATAATGCTAAACTAAACAGGCAAATAATGAATCTAACAAATCACCACAATGTAGTATTGTCATCCTAACTTTTTTTAATAAACACTTTTTTCCCTAATATCTTCCTAGCTCCAAGTTTTCTCTTCTTTCTTGCTAGCAGAGCTTCACAACTATAAATGTTGCAAAACTAATCAAAACCACAACTAGAAATCATTTCACATAAACCAGGAAGGCTAAAATAAAAAGATATCCTTAACCAGTGTTAGTGAGGGCATGGAATAATTGGAGTCCCTGAATATGTCTGATGGAACTGTAAACTGGTGCATCTATTATATGAAAGATTTTATAAGTCCTCCAAAACGTTAAAAAAAATAGTCATATGACCCAGCAATTTCACTCCTAAGTATATAACCAAGAGAAATGAAAAATTTGTGCATACACCAAAACCTGTGCACAAATGTTCATAGAAACACTCTTCATAATAACCAAAATATGGGAACAAATGTTGCAACAAAAGAAGAATGGGGAAATGAAATATGGTGTATCTGTAAGGTGAATATTATTCGGCAATTAAAAAGGAATGAAGCACTGTTACATATATGAACCTTAAAGACATTACTCTAAGAAAAAGGAGTAAAAGACTGTATACACAATTCCATTTATATGAAATGTTTGGAATAAGCAAATAAACAGGACCAGAAAGTATATTAGTGGTGTCCAAGAGCTGGGGAAGGGTTAATGAGAGTCTGTTTATGAATGTGAAACTCTTTCCTAGAATGATGGATATGTTCTAAAGTTAAGTAAGGGCAATTTTTGCACTGTTAATATACTAAAAACTAAAAACTAATAAAATGTACATTTGTTAAAAAGAAAAAAATGTTGCAAAACTGACACTGGAAAATATTTCCTGGAAAAATGTTAAAAGAATCACCTAATATACCTTAAAAAGATGTAAGAAAAAGCAGAGAAAATGGACCATATAAGTGTCCTCAACATAGATTAATATTTTTTATCACACAGAACCCCATTAATATGTATGATTAATACATTAATAAAAATAAATAAGGACAATCATAAAACCTTCAAAGCATAAAAGGCAGTGTATGTTTAAGGCATTATCTTCTTAGTAAGTATAAGAGTTTATAAAAATGAAGACAGGATATACTTAAAATCTTTAATTTTGGTCTTCATAGCAATAAGGGAACTTTTTATCAATGTACAAAATAAAAACAAAGTATTTTGCAGAATATGACAGAACCTTTGCCACTAGCAGTATGTGATCTTTTAAAAGGATAAAGGCAGATCTTAAAGCATACGTTGAAAAACTTAAAAGGAAAATAAAATTATTTTTATTTTAATGAAAATAACTATCTAATTTCTTTTACAAATAAGGTTTCTATCCCACTAATTTTGTTCGACACTTATATGGGTCTCAAAATTATATCTAAGCATTCTGTGTGTGAGGAAGAGAGAATGAGTCATTTCTCAAACTGTCTGATGTAGCACCACTATAAGGTATCAACTTTTCTGTGTCATCCAGTACAGCTTTATATATTAATTTTCTCTTGTGGAAAGCTTAAATGCCAGACACATTTTTTAAAAAGGACAAACACAATTGATCTTTTCATCACTACAATCTTCCGAAATAGAATTGATTGATGACTACTGGGAACAATAAAAAAAAGGTTGGATGTCCTGGTTTTCTTTAAATTCTAATGTTTTCCCAGTGATTACCAAGTAAATGATTAATATACTAATCTTGCTTATGCTACTTATTTCCTAAGATTCACAATCTAGGACTAAAAATAAAGACAAAAATGGAAAGATGTTTTGTGTCAATAAATTAGTGAATAGTTACAGATCACTAGCCTATAAGGACCCTACAAACACATAACCTTTGAAAATTCTTAATATATAAATGCCAAAAAGCTTTGGCCAAAGGAAATAAACAAACAATAAGAAATATGTATATAGGTATGTCTGTGTTGGGGGTTGGGACAAGTCAGTGACAAGAACTACAAAAGTAATTCATAAGAATTGAGAGCAAAAGGCATTTTCAGAACTTTACTAGAGAGCATGTAAGAATCCAGTCTTCGTAGGATGCTACAAAAATAACACTATAGTACTTAGAGGCTACTGAATCTCATTTGTAATATTTCTCTATTATTAAGTCTATAAATTGGTCAAATTTAAACTAAAATTTTGACATGAAATTATATCTAGGCTTTTGGAAACCTGGTGAATAAATTCTCTGATGCGTTCTCAAATCCACTTTTTAAAGCATTATTTATGTACATTAAAAATATTCAGAGTCTATTTCTCAAAATATTTCCTGACCACAGTAACAATTAGACAAGGCACATACCTTTGCTTTCAACTTGACAGTGATTAGATGTTCTCTACCAGAAGCATCTTCTGCTTTTAACTTGATGGTACTAAAGCAACTATCTACAGATACTAGTCTGGTAAGGAGAAAAAAGTAAAAATAATCAGACTGGGGTAAGTTCTGGAGGGGGATGGAGATTGTAGGATTGAAAAGAAAATATTTGTTATGTTACTATTAATCAATTATAAAAATTAATCCAAGGAATTTCTGTATGCCAACCCTTTCTGCTGCTATAGATTTACTGCCGTTAATACACCAGCCTAGTGCTTAATGCAGTCATAGATCTCCAGATTATTTACAATGTGTGTCAAGGCTCATGCTGTGGTCAGTGAGCACTATGTTTCGGTTTTCCATCACTGGAACCTTTAGCACACACAGCATGTTTCTGTCAGCCTCTACTTATGTACACATTAAACTTCCTGTCAAACTCTTTGATCCATTTCTGTAGTTTCATACAGCATGAGACATTTATGCTTCTTTTATTTGTTTTTCTCCTCAATGAACCTCTCTTTTATTATCAATTATGTTACTGTACAAAAATCTGGCTGATATTAGTTCATATACTCAAATTGATCCTCTAAGGAAAATGCTATATAAGCACATATACAACCTGGTCTCCTAACAGTAAATTTTCTTCTTGTACAATATATAGCTTCTGACACTTAACCTAGGCATGTATTCAAGATGACTAATATTTTAAACATATTACACAATCACAATTGTTTTTGCTTTAAGTTGCTCTAAATGCATGAATTTTCTACAATGGAAACCAATATCTTTTGAAATATATCATTCTGTAAAAATATGGTCCCTTGAGTAGCATAAGCTATTGCCAAAATGGTTCAAATTTAGCAGTATATTTACTAGTGAACAGGGCATGGGGATATTTTTTGACATTTTTACAATACTATTCTCTTGTAGAGATAAAAAATAGCCTAAGAATATTGAACAATGTATCACCCAGACTGCTGGTAAGACCTATTAGAGTTCAGAAGTAGCATTAGCCTCCAAACTTAGGCGACATTTTATGACATCACTTTATGCCATTTAGTTACTGACCAAGTATAATTGTAAAATGGGTTAATTCCAATAAATGCTGGACAATAAAGATATAGAACACTATAACGAAAAAATAGATCTAGATATGAAAATATATATATAAAACAATGATATAAAAAGTAAATCAAAAAAATCTACCAAGAAATAGAAGTTTCATCAAAATCTGTAAAAATAATTTAGGGTCTTAGAAAAAAAAGCAAATATTATTCTAGAAAAAAAATGTATATTTATGTAATAATATCAGTGACTATATGGTTAATTTTTTTCCAACTATATCTATAAATGCCTTTAACTGCCTACCTCCAAAAAATTTGAACATGAGAGTTTATCATGGTTTTACCATGACTAAGGTTCAGATACATGAGCATCTGACTCTGAATGCCTCTACAAAACAGATTCAAGTTGAGAAGAGCACATGCATTTATATTCTCCCTCTATTCGCTAAAAAAAAAAAAAAAAAAAAAACATAAAGGAAATTTTTTAAAGTATGAAATTCCAGTTACAAAAAGAACAAGAAAGATCATTAATTAAAGCAAATTTTTAACAACTTTTATGAGAACGTATAGTACTTAAATGAACACTGGCTGACAAAACAGATTAGAAGAGAAAGAGGGCTCCAGGAGGGTGACAGCTGGCAAAAAGGCAAAATCTGTAGAACAGAGTATGATTGATACACACTGGCAGAGATTATGGGGATTTTTTTAAATGAAAAAAGCAAAGAGGAAAGAGAAAATTTTAAACTAAATTATAAACAATAAAGTCCTTTAAAAGACTTTTGAAAGACTATAAATATTCTGTTATAAATTATTCAGTGAAAAATATTTATGTAATCATAAAAAATAAACTGCTTACTAATTATAATTTTTAGATTCCAGCAAGACAAAATGCTAAAAGACTTCATTATAGTTATAGAAACTAATGTAAATATACTTAACCATAACCATTGCTTTTTTTTTTTTTTTTTGGCCAATATTGTTCCCCAGTATCTTTCCTGAACATTAGTATTTAAAGGAAAAGATTACAAAAAGTGGAACATAGAAAGGGGACCAATATCAGGAGGAAGGATAATCACAAAATCTATAATTCCTAACTTGAGAGTCAAAAGATAAATCCTTGGGTTCAAAGGAAAGAGAAAAATAAATAATGAAAGAAGAGAGAAAGTGGTATATGAGCTAAATCCTTTTTTATTATCACAATCAGTATACGATTCCTAAAACTAGCAAATCAAGAAATAATACAGACACTTTATTTAGAAGGGTAGAAGTGTAAACATGATCAAAGTGTTTGTTTCAAAGAATAAGACTTGGAATCGGAAATGGATAGCAAAGACTGTTTGCATTTCAGTTTAAACCCTGAGAGAGCATGTGAGCGAGAAAGAGGGGTTTGGGTGAGACAAAAAAAAGGACAACTAAACAACCAACAAGTGTTTTCTGTACTTCATGGTGCTACTCATTAGCTGAATGTTCAAATCATTATTGAATATCTATGAAATCAGAAATAAGAGCTCTAGTCTTTTGTTTATAATCACAGCAATGTAAGAGTATCATTATTCCACAATTTCACAGAGGTAATACTTCAGAGAATAAAGTGACATGCTCAAAAATATTTCAGTCCAAATGGCCATGAAGTTACTTTTGTTAAAACTTTAAGAAGTACTAGAATTCAAATAAAGCAGTATGAAATGCTTATACTTTCATGTTAATCTCAGCACAAACAATTAAAATTAAGAAACATTCATAATTACCCATATGAATTCCTGGCTACTTTGTTGGGGGGCGGGGGAAATCTTACTGCAATTATGAACATCTTCAGTACATATGACCTAGACTGCCAATTTTCCTCTGATGCTTATTCTCACCTTCTTCCCTTTGGCAATGGAATCCCTGGCTCCCACCCTAACCCCACCTAAACCTTGATTTACCTGGGTACAATCCACCTAGCTAATGACTTGCTAGCTGCCCTTCCACATGGACATATAACTAAACTTTGGCCACAAGGTTACAAGCAGAAATGATATGTACCTCTTTTGGATCATTTATAACTAAAGTGCACCCTCCTCTCCCCCTTCATCTCATTCCCCTCCCATAGATTGAACTTGGACAGGCTAGTATGAAACAGCAAAGACCACGAAGACAGGAACAGTTTTGTTGGCAAAACTGGCCAACAGAACCCTCTGTGGTGTTCTGTTTGGACTGTCCAAAACAGTAGCCATTAGTCACAAGTAACTAATGAAGGACTCAAAATACAGCCAGTACAGTGATTTTTTTTTACATTTAATTTTTTAAATTTTAAATTTAAATCTAAATGTCAATAGTCCTGTGTGGCTACAGGATACTGAACACCAATCACAATGGATAGTGAAGAAATCAGTTTAAAAATTCCTGCATTCTTCAATGACCTTCTGAAACAGAGCCACCAACCTATTTTTCCTACTTTTAACCATCTGCCTATATCTAATTTGTTAAATAAGAAACAAATAAAATTCCATTTTGTTTGAACTACTGAGAATCTGAGGTTTTCCTTGTCCTAGCAGATGAGCCTGTACCCTAACAAATAAAGCATAAAAAATTTATATCGATTCATGATAGGAAAAAGTATCCTGGTTTTGATAATGAAGGTAAAAAACAACCAACTGGGTGATAAATTCTCACAAACAATATCAAATCTGTCTTTCAAAGAAAGTCCACTTCAAATGTTCTGCCTTCCTCTTAAATTGGGTGTCTCAACTTAAACAATAGGGAATAATTTTTGTTCATTTAAATGAAATATAAGTAATTCATTTAAATAAATACACTTAGGGAAGTTTCATCAATGAAAAGCTTGAATTTTTTTAAAAGTTTATGTAAAATGCTAGAAAAATACCCACAAAAATCACAGTGAAAATTTATACTGAGAGGAGTTTAAGTATTATTTAGCTGGGCATATTGTAACACTGACTAAGAAACTATAAATACAAAATGTAAAGAATAAAATATTTTATTTTTGGTCCTCCACTTTGTATTTATCATCTGATACATTTCTTTATAAGTCTGTTTGCCATAAATAAAAGACACTAAATTTGAATTCACTTTTTTTAAAAACATTTGCAAAGAATACTAATACTTAAAATTTCAGGGAGATTTTGCTATTCCTGAGGATGGTGGCCCTGTGAATAGCTGAATATATCAGTACAGACAGAAGAAATGTATTCTCTTGAAATTTTGACCAACAGCTTAAGTTATGTAGTTTTTCTTTCCTTAATCACCAAGGTACATTTAAGTAGTAATACCAACAAAAGGCAGATATCCTCAAACAGCAGTCTGAAGATAGCCATAATTTAATAAAGTATCAAAGATTCCATTTTTACCACCACTCTCAATGTAAGCTTTAATTGCTTTATTCCTCGATTACTCAAAACAACCTCCCTAATGGGTATGTTCTCTCTATTTCTGCACAACAATTCATCCTGCCTTCTGTGTTTAGATTTAGCCTTCTTATATACCTCTTAAGTCAATTCAACCCCTTGCTCAAAAACACTCATGGAGTCCCTATCACTTGCTTAAACAGAAACATTAGTCTAGCAGTCAATATCCTCCAGTCTAGCCCTAATATATTAATCCCCTTATGTGAGCAACCCCTCCACTCAAAGTCCCAAAATGAACTGCACACTTTCTTCACTATAACCTTGCCTCCACCATTCCCTCCTTGGTAAAGCTCTCTCGAATCCTTTCAAGGTTACCCCAGTACTCATCTCCTCTAAGAACTTCTCAAATTTTTTGTAGACCCAAAGTACTTCACCTTTCTCTAAACTCACATCGGTTTTTTTCATTTGAGTTTTAGGTTGCCAATCAAATAAGTTTTTTGGTAAGGAATATGAAAGTTTTCTATTTGTATGTATATGCAATGCTATATGTATACATGAACATGCAGAAGCTATTGTCAGACTGGTTCATTATTTACCAATTTATGTCAAAATTTTAAACAACAGATGAATATAAATACTGTTTAAATTAAATACTATAAACATATTATCAATTC